ATGCCATTGAGCGCACATACTGACCAGTGCGTTATGTAGGTACGGCCCCATGCTTATAGGTTTGTCTCTTCGTTGCCCACGGACGCGCCGGCGCCGGGGAATGTTACTAGAATGCATACTGACGCACGAATCCGCCGCCCAGGTGTCTTCTGTAACATGATTCTTTATGGGGTCGGTCTCTTTCTGCGCCCACATCATCTGAGAGCAGTACGGCTGATCGCACGCCCAGGTATTCGTCGGCCAGGTTCGTGCTCGTCGCGTTTTACGCTGTGCAGGAGGGAAGGGACTGACGCGAATGGGATGAACGCAGGCCTTGACGTACTACCAGCTGTACCACAAGGACGAGACGTGGATGCGGTACTTCGTGCGTGTGTTTTACTTTTCACGTCTCTCTTCCGTCCTCCCTCTTCTATCATCTCCTCCTTTCACTTTCCGCTGTGCACTTTGCATTTGGTGTTATGCGCTCGCCGTTCGGTGTTATACCCTCGGCGTTCGCAGGCTTGACTACCGCTGGTGGTATATAACGATTCACGAGCGAACGACTAACGCCAACACAGGTCCTCTACCTCTTCGTCCTCGAGACGCTCAACACCGCGCTCGACATGGCCATGATGTACCAGCCGCTTATATTGGAGTATGGTGCGTGCCGCGTTCTTCACGTCCTCTCCGTTCCTCGTTCTTTGCGCATCTCGATTCCTCCTTCTTTTCGCCCTTCCTTCTTCGTACTCCGAGCCTTCCGACGTGGAACGTGTACTTGAGCGTTTCGACGACGAGAAGCGGATACGAAGGGAATACGAGGAGGAGTCGATATATCAATTATACGAATACGACTACTGAGATACCAACAGGCCGTCAACCCAATAACTTCCCCGCCGGTGCGTCCGTTTCCCTACTCTTCACCACAAGTTGCCGTTGCTAATGACGACGCATGCAGTGTTCCTCACCCGTACGTCGTTTCCTTGAGAAAGGTAGAGATGGGGTGCTGATTTTGTTTGAATGGGTGGACAGAGCCGATGTTGGTGGTACGTGTCCTTGCCTCCCTTCTTTCTTCCATCCGGCCGTGCGCGGTGTCGGTCGGGCGGACGGACGCGTTGTGCTGGGAGCGAAAGGACGCCCCAATGCTGTTGTCGCGCGTCGGTGTCCTCTGTGTGTCGTGCTCTGCGTCTTGTGCGTGCGTCATCGGCGCCGCGGCGTGCAACCCGCCCTCCCAGTCTCACTTCCCGCTCTCATTTCTTCCTAACCCCTTCCATCTTCCTCTCCTCCAAATACTTTACTGCTCCAATACTCTCAAGTGTTAATACTGACATCAGCACGCAGGTTCTCATCGCAACGCCCATCCAGCTCTTCTTCGCGTGGCGCATCTGGACCATCACGCGCCCGCGCTTCGGGTGGCTCCCCTTTGTAATTGGCGCGTTTGCGGTGGCGGCGTGTGGTGCGTTGGTTTTTCTTTTTCTTCTCTCTTATTATTTCCTTGTTTCAATATCATCTTCGAGTCTTTCGATTCTTCCGAGTTTTTCTGTCCCATCCCCCCTTTAGATTTGTGCGGCCGCGTTTGGCCGTGGGCGTCCCGCGTTTTGCCTTTCTCATCGCGCCACCCCGGTTTTCCCGCTGCGTGGAGTCGCGATCAAGGGAGAGCCGACATATCCGATCGCGACTCAGTGCCGCTCGACTGGGGCGGTTAGGAGTGGACTCGGGTGACGCGTGTCGGTGCCATGAGTCGTGCTCGGGAGCGCGGGGAGTTGTGGACGGATCTCCGACAGGTGGTGTTCAGCCGGAGCGTGGAAGGGATGGGTAGTAGGCGCATGGGTAGCCGGAGGTGCTCAGCCGTCTAGCGTAGAATCCCAGAGCCGCGTGGCCCGATGTCGAGCTCGCTGGGCCGGCGCGGCAAGGGCCCGCATTGCAGACATGGCCCGTCGAAGTCGCAGCACAGACGCAGATACCAGCTCGCATCACCGGGTCGGGGTGGATGGTGCGGAAGGTCGACGCGGAAGCTCGAGCCTCTCAACCTGACCTGAAGCCGACGCGTCGCAGATGAATTTCGAGGTGGTCGCGAGTCGGGCATTGTATAGGGATGAAGCCATCGCGCCTGTCGCGTTCTCTTGTATGCCAGCCTGATTCCTTTCGGCGTCCCGTTCCTCTTCTGTGTCCACGGCGTTGTCACCAGGTTCGCGCGTGCTGGGTAGCATCCAGCCTTCTAGCTGTCTAGAGTGGTCGTTGTTACTGGCTTCCCTCTCCTCCCTCTCCTCCGTCCTCTTCACAGCTTCCTCTTTCTCATTTTCTGCTTAATGTCTTCGCTTCGTTTCCACTTGCTGACATTTTCTCCCACAGCCGGCGGCCTCTGGACCGCGGTCAAGGTCGGCCTCATCGGCAAGTTCGCCCGTAAGCCCGAGCTACATGTGTCGGCATTATTGTGGTACGTTGTCTTGTTACTTCCCGTCGTATCCTCCGACGTGGACGGTGCGGGGAGCACACGGGGAGTCTCCTCGGATTTAATCTTCTGTATGCGTACTCGGACAAGGACGAACTAACACACCTCTAGGTTTCTCGCGTCGTGCGTCGCGGACGTGCTGATCACGATTTCGTTGGTAATGACACTCGTGCGTGCTTTCCTTCTATTTCCGCGACCTCGCGCTGATTACCGGTTCATTCATTCTCTCTTTGCATTTCCTTCCGACTGCGTATACTCCTACCTCGCTCCTTCCTCGACTCTGCTCGCAACTCACCGCGTACCTACGCCGCTTCTCGACGGTTGACTGGTCCGGCGATGCGTCGAATACAACGATTCTTTGCCATAATGACGCCCCGCCCGCCCGCAGTCGCACCGCAAAACGGGGTTTGTCGCGACGGACACGGTGATTGATAAGATCATCCGGAGTGAGTTTTCTGTTTGTCTACGCGTTCTGGGAGGAGTGAATGAGGAGGGGCAGTCGCGGAGACGGGCTCGACGCTCCAGCGGGCAGGTGGAGTGGGAACGGCATGATCTCGTCCAGCGAGTCCGGAGCATCCTGCTGCTGCTGATACTGCGCAAACATGACGCTGCGCCAGGACTCTGTGGTTTGTTGTCGACAGGGGTTCCTTGAGGCGTGTGTAGGTAGGAGACGAGGGAACGGCACGCTGGACACGGAACAACAGAAGGAGCGGTTGAGGCGCCTCGTGAGCTGTGTATGCGATGGCCGGACGCCCGGGGCGGACGACGGTTTCGCGGATGAGATAGCTCTTGGTCTCAGGCTTGTCGTGACGAGTGAGAGGAGAGGGACCCGCATCTCTCTTCTCACGTTCTACGCGTATCTTTTGCCTTCCACGCCCTCTGCACGTCCGTCCAATGCTAGCTACTGTGCCGATTCACATTCCGTCTCCGGGGATGGAGTTGCCTATCCGTGCCTTTTCGCTGCGAAACTTGCCCCTTTCAGATACCGTCGTCCGTATGAAGAAGGATTGATGTACACATGCTGACCTCTATCTATTCGCACAGCGACAATCCAGACCGGGCTCGTAACGTCCGTCTTCAGCATCCTCGACGTCATCTGCTTTATGGTGTTTCCTGTGCGTATGCTCATGGCCCCTTCGTTGCCCTCCCTCTTCTATATGCATCTTTACTGATCATATATTCCCGACACAGCACTACGCCATCAACTTCCTCTGGGACCTCGCCCTCTCGAAGCTCTACTCGAACGCGCTTCTCTCCACACTCAACGCGCGCGGGGACCTGGGCACAATATCCACCTCGCGGCCGAGCGGGTCAAGGGGGCAGTACGGCGGGCATGGCTCACACGGAGGAGGGGTGGGGACGACACATAACCTGGTGTTCGAGGACATGGCGCTCGTGATGGGGGCGACGCCGGTGACGACGAAGTTGGAGGAAACAAGGAGCTTCGAAGAGGGGACGGGGACGTTTGAGGAGGGGAGGAGTACTGGCATCAGGACGTTCGAGGAGCGCAGCAAGCGAACAGCGGACACGATGGACACGATGGACACCGACATGTGCGAGTCGGAGATGGAAATCACGGAGACGCCGCGCTTGGAGGCGAGCACGAGCGGCTATGTCGTGAGCCACCCGCACCCTCCGTACGATGGGGCATACAGCGCGGCATACTCGCTCGGGTACACCAGCACGTCGCATTCGTACGGCAGCAGCAGCAAGTCGCAATCATACGGTTCTAGCAGCAAGTCACAGTTGTACGGCAGCAGCTCGCGGAGTTCACATCCGCGGCCCCTACCAGCGGAAGTCGACCCGCCATGGCATGACGCTCAGGGCTCGTCGACGGTGCGCTAGTCGTTCCGCCTCGATTCTGCGGGCTTTCTCCTGCTTTCTCGCCTTCCCCGCGTCCCACTTTATTGACTCCATCGTTCTCCGTCCATCCCATCCCCCTCTATCCGCATCGCATCTCCCCCTTCGCTACTTGCTTACTCTACTTCAAGTTATGTCTCGTCTCGCATCCACGCATCGCATGTACTTATTGCTCGCACATCCCGGATCTCTCGTCTTGCTATCTATTCCATCTCATCTTCATATGCATTCTCGCTCGGTCCTATCTACACATCCCTCCCCATCTCCCTCAGTTTACGCTACCACTACGTACCTACTACTTACCTACTACCCGGCTCGCGCTCGCCACCCTCGTTCCCTCATCGCCTTCTGATTTCGACCTCTCACATTCACCCCCCTTACCCGACTCTCTGATTATTAACGTACCAGCTAGTCCGCGCCTCTCATCCTTTACTATTACCGTTACTGTTCCCTATTATACCCTACCCATCTATCCTCTATCGTTGTAATATCTGTCTGTACTTTTATGGATTTGGAGCTGATGGATTTGGAATCACGATGGTTTGACTCTTGAGAGACTTGTGTAAGAGATGACTTTTTTTTTTTTTGCAAGTCTTTCCCCCATTAACGAGTAGTCAAGAAGGCTTCACCACGAGCGGATTAAATGGTAATATGTGAACCGCAAATAATAGGAGAAAAAGGAAACCGAAAGTGTCGCACAAAAAGAACTACTTGCTCCCCATGAGGGTCGAACTCATGACCTCCAGATTGTAAGATCCTAGATCCTTCACATAATATGAGACTGGCGCTCTAACCAACTGAGCCAGGGAAGCATTTATTTGCGATGCCCCCTGAAGATAACATGCATAGATGCTAGTAATTCTTTGTTTTGGAGCATTTAAAATAATTCCCGGTTCCGCAATTAGGGACCAGGTCTGATTTCAGCACTAATGTGTTGTGCAAAATTGTGGCATGTGGACTCACATGGTTACTGCTTTTTCATCCCCAACTACTATGTCGGAAAAAACCAATTTGCCTTGTCACACGACCTCATCAGTAAAACAGCACGTTTATCTTTGAGGTCTTTGATGTCTTGGCCAAGACTCGTAAGACCACAAAGACACATGTTTCCCACACATGTCTTTCACCAGACAGGTTCAAATATCTTAGACAAAATTCTAGGGCTACCGCCCGTTGCTGTGTCCACGGTTTCACGGCATCCATGTAGTGTTGCCGTGGTTTGGTTCAGAACCGCTGCCGAACCTGAACCAAACCCGAACTGCACCTCAATTCAGGTTCGGAGGGCTCAGCAGAACCGCACCGAACCCCAGGTGCGGTTCAGGGTTCGGAGATTATAGTATTTTTGTGCACCTGGTGCGCACCGGTGCGAACCGGTTCGAACCGCTATTTTTTCTGCTGCTTGGAAGTTGCACATTTGCATTATTTTTTACACATTATCACAGTTCTAGCTTCCATCCCCGGTGAAAGAGCATTTAATAGATCTACTCTGAGACCATGAAGCCCAATCATCGATCAAATCCGGAAGCTCGACCAGGCCATCCCAACCTGCACAACTAAAGTAAACATTAAACAATGTAGCCCAAGAGACAAGTCTTTAACTGAAACTCAACAGCGCAACCTCCTGTCACCTACGATATCTGCAGAAGCCCTTCAGATCTTGAAAAGTGTGTACCATAACAATCATATTGGCACATGAATGAGAATTTCAATGCTTTGCAAGGATGTCGAAGAGAAATCTGAAGAATCTAAGGCATGAATTCATATAATTACTAGTAGAATGGTACCTGTTCCCAATAATGCACCTTTTCTCACTTGATCAGCCAGAAATACTGCACAAGAAAAATTTCAGGTTTGTTCAGGGTTCGAACCCCTTCCGAACCTGAACCGAACCTCAGCAGAACCGCACCTCTGGTTCGGTGCGGGATTCGAGGGAATGCTTGAACCGAACCCGAGGTGCGGTTCGAGGTTCGGAAATTCTGAGAAAAAACCGCACCGCACCGAACCGTGGCAACACTACACCCATGGCAGCCATGCCCATTCCGTTGGGGATGTTGGGTCAGCTCCCACGGCACAGGTCAAGCCTGTGTGAGCTGTTGAAAACACGGCCGCCACGGGCCAATGGGTGTCTTCAAAACTTGTTCAAAATAGTCTGGGCAGCCACCGATAATTGTGCACACGTACTTATGGTAGTTTAAGCCCGGGAATGCCGAACAGTGATTAGAGCCTGATCCTATCAGCTTTGATGTTGTTTGCGCCTTTACGTGACCACCTATGGTCTTCAGCTTCTACCCAGCTTCCATCTCAGCATAACTCACCTGAACATGTTTTTATGGGTCTGATTGTGCACAAACCTTCAAGTCCTCCTCAACCTAGTTCGGCTCCTGTCACTGGTTGAACATTTCAAGTTTTTTGGTGAAAAGATTGGTGAGAAGTAGGTTGAGTTTTACACACATTTTTCACTGGAAAAGTAGGTGAAAAACGTAACAGTTTTTCCAAGATTTTCACTTTTAAGGTGAAAATTTCAAGTCAAAGTTAGAAAGTGGTGAAAAAGTTTCAAGTTTTTCACCTGCTTTTTCAGTGAAAAATTTGTATAAAACTCAAACTACTTTTCACCAATTTTTTCACCAAAAAACTTGAAATGTTCAACCTGTCAGGGGAACCCCTGTTTCCGGCCCTTCCGCTCCCGCATCCGGACCCTCCGGTCCCGTTCCGACCCGTTCCGGCTCCTCCCGATATCACATGGCCTGTGATTCCGCCCGGGACCTCTGCCGATCACTCTGGTTGCTGTCACATGCCCCCCATCCGTAGTTACTTATATACCGGGATCTGACGCGGGTGATCCTTAGTCTTTCTTCTCTTCGGATCCCCCTCGTCAGGTCTGTCCATTTGTACCTGTAGCTACTCTGTGATATTTACCTTCGGATCCCCCTCGTCAGGACTCTTGAGTATACTCGGGCCTTGAGGTTGCCCTTACAGCAGAAGAAAGACTCTAAGGGATTAACCGGCCAAGATTGCGGGTTACGGTTTAGCAGACTCGGACGACTCCGAAAGTGCTCCGGTCTCCCCGAACCCGAATCTTGTCCCCTCCTCCCCTCGTCTAGATCCCTCCATGTCCGACGCGTCCGCTGCGGAAGCCGCCGCCCGGTTGGACCGGATCGAAGCGAGCATCGCGTCGCTTGCAAAACTTGTCCAAAACCAATACCCCACTGCTGCCTCGCCTGCCCCGTCCCTTGCCGACCCGGCTCCGAACCCGGGTCCAGGGTTATTTAACAATGTTGCTCCTGGAGCGAAATCGGTCCTCCGGCCGAACCCCCCGATCGTCTTCGACGGTGACCGCAAGAACGGCCGGGCCTTCCTTCACCAGGTCCGGTCCTACGCCCGGTTACTTCCGGAGGCGTTCACGGAGAACGGGGAACCCTCCGAAGAGAAGGTCGTCCGGTACGCCATGTCTTTTATGGCCACCGGTTCCGCACAGCGTTGGGCCGAGCGTCAGTCCAACAAGACCCCGTTCCTCCTCACGAGCTGGGACGCATTCCTCCGGGAGTTCCGGCTCCGGTTCGTCGAGGAGAACGAACAGGACCATGCGCTGAACAAGCTCGAGGGACGCTCGTACCACATGGGCTCCCGGGACGTCTTCCAATACACGGACGACTTCGAGGACCTCGTCGACCTTGCCGGCTTCGAAGACCCCCTCGTCAAGGTCACGAAGTACCGGACGGGCCTTGATCCGGGGATCAACACCGCGATAACCGGATCTTCCGACCCTCCGGACATCCGCGACTACCCCGCCTGGAGGCTTCGTGCCTACCGCCAGTACGAGGCCAAGCTCCGCACTTCGGAAGCCGCCCTTCCGATGCGCCATGCAACCGCGACGGGTCGCGCCCGGGTGATTCCCGTCGCCCCCGTTTCTTTACGAAACTCGACGTCCGGTGGGGCTTTAACAACGTCCGCATCCGGGAGGGTGACAAGTGGAAAGCCGCATTCCGTACCAACCGGGGGCTCTTTGAGCCATTGGTGATGTACTTCGGCCTTACCAACTCCCCGGCGACCTTCCAGACAATGATGAACGACATCTTCCAAGATCTCATCTTGTCTGGCGACGTCATGGTGTACCTCGACGACATCCTCATCGCGCACTCGGACCTCCGGAAGCACCGGGAGATCGTCCGGGAGGTCCTCCGACGTCTCCGGGAGCATAAGCTCTACTTGCGACCGGAGAAGTGCGAGTTCGAGAAGTCCTCGATCGAATACCTCGGCGTGATCATCTCTCACGATCATGTGGAGATGGATCCGGTCAAGGTCGCCGGAGTTTCCGCTTGGCCGACACCGGAAAACAAGAAGGACGTGCAGCAGTTCCTCGGCTTCACGAACTTCTACCGGCGGTTCATCCGCGACTTTTCCGACATCGCCCGCCCTCTCTTCGACCTCACCAAGAAGGGCCAGGCGTGGGTCTGGACCGACAAGGAGGCCGCTGCGTTCCAAGCCTTGAAGGACGCAGTGGTCACCGAGCCGGTCCTGATCCTTCCGGACGAGTCCCGGATGTACCGGGTTGAGGCGGACAGTTCCGACTTCGCGTCCGGAGCTGTCCTCTCTCAGGAGGGTGTCGACGGGAAGTGGCATCCGGTTGCCTTCTTCTCCAAGAGCTTGAGTCCGGTCCAGCGCAACTACGAGATCCACGACAAGGAGATGCTGGCGATCATCCGGGCGCTCGAGGAGTGGCGGCACTTCCTTGAGGGCTCTCAGCATCCGGTCGAGATCTGGACGGACCACAAGAACTTGGAGTACTTCCGGAAGGCGCAGAACCTCAACCGGAGGCAGGCCCGGTGGTCCCTGTACCTGTCCCGGTTCGACTTCTCCCTTCACCACAAACCCAGACGCCTTATGGGCCGCGCGGACGCCCTGTCCCGACGCGCTGACCATGGAGCGGCTTCGGACAACCAGGATGTGACGCTCCTGACTCCACAGCTGTTCCATATCCGTGCGTTAGAGGGTGTTATAGTCTCCGGACCGGAAGTCCCGATCCTCCGCGAGATCCACGATGCCCTCGCCGGCGAGCCTGACCTCGAGGACCCCGTCGCTCTCGCGGCCCGGGAACTTTTGAAGGTTCGTGGCGCCCGGTCCTCCCGGTCCTCCGAGTGGCATGTCGAGTCCGGTCTGCTCTATTTCCGTGGCAAGATCATTGTTCCGCGGAACAAGGACCTTCGTCGCCGGATCTTGGAGCAGCACCACGACACCCGCATTGCTGGGCATGCCGGCCGTTTCAAAACGTTGGAGCTCATTTCCCGGAACTACTGGTGGCCCCAGCTGTCCCGTCACGTTGGCCGGTATGTAGCGACCTGCGACTTGTGTCTCCGGACCAAGGCGCTCCGGAAGCTTCCGGTCGGGGAGTTGCACCCGACGGAGATTCCGGAGGAGCGCTGGAGTGCCGTGTCGGTGGACTTCGTCGTCGAACTTCCGGAAGCGCACGGCTACAATGCGATCATGGTTGTAGTCGACGTCCTCGGTAAGCGCGCCCACTTCATCGAGTGCCACACCCAGATCGACGCTGTCGGTGCGGCCCGGCTCTTTTACCGGAACGTCTGGCGCCACCACGGAACTCCGGAGAAGTACATCTCCGACCGGGGGCCTCAGTTCGAACCGGAGTTCACCACCGAGCTCTGGCGCCTCATCGGAATCAAACCCGCGACCTCCACGGCGTACCACCCGCAGACCGATGGGCAGACGGAGCAGGTAAACCAGGAGATGGAGCAGTTCATCCGGCTTTTCACTAATTACAAGCAGGATGACTGGGACGAGCTCCTTCCAGCCGCGG